CTCACAGAGGCCTGCCTGCCTCTGCCTCCTGAGTGCTGGGTTAAAGGCGTGCAACATCACCGCCCGGCCCTTTGTGTGTTTTAAGATGGCAGCTAGGCATTAGCAATAGGAAACACACTGTATGAAAGTGGGCCTTTTTATTTCCCTGCATCTGCTTCTGGCTCCGTTGATGCCTAATCAAAGCGTGACTGGTTATTAAACAAGGTTTACTTCTGTCTGTGGCTAGACTGAGAACTATATCCCTTCAAGGTTGTTCCCCCCACAGGAACCCAGTACACCAGGAGGCCTCTGCTGGGAGGGCTGGGCCCACAGGGAAGTCCTCCCCTCACTGGACCCTCCAGAAATGACCTCTCCCCAGTCCCTCCTCTGCATCACTCCCCAACCAGAAGGTGGAAGGTCTTAGCCCCTGTTCCTGTGAGAGTCCATGGTCACCTCTGTCTGCACCCTCCTTTTCGGAGCCCACAGGATCTGCTCCCCTGTTTTTCTGTCCTGGTCATCCCACACCCACCTGCCAGCTCTCTCCCTGTCCCTGTCCAGTTCAGCTCTGCCAGCTGGGATCAGGAACGTGGGGTGGGACACGGCAGGGTCCCATAACACTCCTAACCCTGCTGCAGATTCACCATCTCTGCCACCATGGGGCATGGGACTGCGGAGGGGCAACCAAGGACCTACCTGCCTTCCTCCAGGTGGGGACCACATGCCCACTTGTGTGGGCATTCAGAGTAGAGAAGAGCTGGACAGAGTTAAGGTTGACCTATGGCCCCTATCCTGCTTCCCTCTCCCTTCCCCTGGGCACCAAGCCTGGGAAAGGTGTATGAGTAAGGGAAGGGGTTAGGGCACCCTAGGCAGGTGCCAGACCAAATGTGGTAGGTATAACAGAGGCCAAGAAAACACTGGGCCTCTGACCTGTGTGGGATATGGCCTGAGAGATCTCAAAGCAGTCTGAGGACAGCGGGCGGGAGAGGTAGAGGGAGCTGTCCTTGGGCAGGCCCTCCAGGGTTAGGTGTGGGAGCCTGTGACCCAATCACAGGCCCCATCCCCAGCTGGAAAAGAAACATACCGGGACCCTGTGGCCAACCTACCTGGACATCACAATTGCCTCCCCCCACCCCCACCATGGGTACCTAGCCTTTGGGGCAGGGTTGAGTAAGGGCTCATTCTCTTGCTGTGAAATAGTTTGTTTTTTTTTTTTCTTTTTATGTGTATGAGTGTTTTTCCTCCATCTAAGTGTGCTGCATTGCCCTTGGAGGCCAGAAGAGGGCATGGATTCTCTGGAACTGAGTGATAGATGGTTGTGAGCTGTCCTGTGGGTGCTAGGGATTGAACTCTGGCCCTCTGCAAGAGCAGCAAGTGCTTCTAACCACCAGGCCATTTTTTCCAGCCTCTGTGATGGACTTAGAAATGTCACATAAGCCAATAGAAAAAGAGCCAAATACAGCCGGTGTCAATGATGAGGGGTTTAGCTCTCCCTAGCGCCTGGGATCTAAGGAGACAGCTGCACTGACTAGTTCCTTCCCTTCCTCCTGCAAAAAGTAATGGAGTTTGAAAAAAAAACAAAAAAACGCCAACTCATGTAGGATTGTGTAGCATACACATGGGAATTTAGCCCATGGGAGCTGGTGAGATGGCTCAGTGAATTAAGACACTCCCCACCAACCAAGCCTGGTGACCCAAGTCCAATCCCTGGAAACCCACGTGGAGGCAGGAGAAAAGTGACCCTTACAAGTTGCCCTTCACATATGTGTGGTGGTATGCGTGCATGGGTGTCCACGCACACATACATTCCTAGGTGAATAAGTATAATTTTTAAATTAAAAATTTTAGTGCAGGGATGAGAATCCTGCCTCTGCCTCCCCAAGTGCTGGGATTAAAGGCGCCGCCACCACCCTCCCCCATCCTCCCCCCCCCCTCCAAGATCCTGTCTCAAAAGCAAAACAAACAAACAAAAAACCGTAGCTGGGTATAGTGGTGTCTATTCTTCATGGGACAGAGGCAGGTGGATCTCCGAGTTTGCAGCTAACCTGGGTTAGAGTGAGTTCTAGGACAGCTAGGGCTACATAGAGGAGCCCTGTCTCAAAGAGGAAAAGAAACAAGACGAGAGCAGAGATTCGGAGTTGGAGAGTCCTTGGAGATTTTTTTTTTTTTTCCTGTGATGGTCCTCTGCTATTGGCCAATCAGAGAAGAGTAGTTGTGGCAGGCTGGGGGAGGTGGCATGACCATGTCATACTTTCCAGCCTACCCTAGTAGATCAGGCTGCAGGTCCCTCCTGGGACTGGCTGAGAGCCACTTCCATCTGCACACACACACACACACACACACACACACACACACACACCCGTTGTCCTGCCATGTGCTCTCCTCCTGCTTTCTGTGAGGCTTGATTGTAGAATCCATCTCTGGGCGTGGGCAGTCTGATCTCCCGGGGCCTGCTGCCCACCAGGATCTGCTGCCCACCTGCGCTTTACCTGTTGTTCTTGTTCAGGGGCACACCACAGGACCCAGAATGGAGGCTTCCCGGGAGGCGCCAAGCTGAGAGGGTTTGGAGACATGAGTCTGAGGTCCATGGAGGGATCTCAGGAGGGAGCAGAGGGTTCTCCCTGCCTCACGGGGAACCAAGGAGATGAGAGTGGCTCGTAGCGGAAACCACAGAGAAAAGCTAGGACAACTCTCCATTTAGCAAGCCCTTTCACAGGAGGCCCTGAGAAGGTGTACGCGCCTGTTGAGGTCAGGCCACACCTTGCCCTGAGTTATTCCAAACTGTGTAAAACAGTGGCTTTTCACCTCAAGAGACTCAAGAGACGTTTGCAAGCATCTTTGTAATCTAGATGGAGAATGGAAGTTGACGGTACACCATCTGTCCAACACCATCCACGTGGCACAGAGTAATGATTATTTCTGGGAGTAGAAAGGGTACTGCTCTAGAATTTATCATGGTGGATTGGAACTGTAGGGGCATGTGGGCATATTAAAATGATATCAGGAAAATCAGCCAGCCTGGTCTACAGAGTGAGTTCCAGGACAGCCAGGGCTACACAGAGAAACCCTGTCTCAATAAAAATAAATAAATAAATAGATAGATAGATAGATAGATAGATAGATAAACAAACAAACTTACTGGGCACACCAGGCTGTGGTGATATTTTGTTTGTGCATTAACAAAGCTCACCTGGAGATCAGAGTGCAGAACTAGCCACTAGGTAACCATAAAAGCCAGGCAGTGGTGGCTCACACCTTTAATCCCAGCACTTGGGATCTCATGTCTCTGATCCCAATACTTAGGAGGCACACGCCTTTAATCCCAGCACGTGGGAGGCAGAGACAGGTGGATCTCTATGAGTTCGAGGCCAGCCTGGTCTACAGAGTGAGTTCCAGGAAAGGCTCCAAAGCTACACAGAGAAACCCTGTCTCTC